TTTAGCTCGAACGGTCAAATACACAAGCTTATGTCAGTGTCTTAAAGGGATACTCCACTTTTTTTTGGAAATAGGCTCATTTTACAACTCTGGTTTTGGTGGTACCACTATTAGCATAGCTTAGCATACATCACTAAATAGGAGTTGTAAAATGAGCCTATTTTCAAAAAAAAAGTGGAGTATGCCTTTAAGTGAACGTAAACGACTGAGATAGAAAGCGTGTGTGTATCAGCACATTAGATCTTGCATGCAAGTAACAGCAGCCTAATATATTATCTGCTGCCTTCTGTAAATCACTTTTGTAACTTTAATAAGAATAAATTTACACACGGACTATGCAGTGTATACTTGAAGTTTTTTTAAGGCAGGTCTATTTCATTTGCGTCTTTGTTTTGGTGTTTCATTGGTATAACATTTTTTGGATACCGTAATGCAATTTCGTGATCGTAATCGTGAAATAAAATTACTTTTGGTCATATAGTGACTGCACCAACATTCCCCATCAGTAACATGCTACATTATCACCACCATACACTTTTAAAAGTGTAAGAGAGAACGAATCCAGGAGGAACACATTTTATGAGTCAAAGTGACGGTGAGACCTCACCCATGTGAATAATTCCATGGCTCGTCTGAGGCGTTATCTCCTTTCTCACACACGCAGGCACACATGCAAACACCTTGGTTTCAGGTCACCGTGCCCTTGGTGCACACTGAGATTGTGTGACAAACACAATCATCTCAACCTCAGCGGCTCCCATGGAGACCAAACCTTAAGGGTCAGGGGTCACAGATCTCACACATTGCAGCACAATGGCACAAAAAAACATCAGGCGCCGGCACATCCATTAGTTAGGATATACACAATAAAAATGTGGATTACTGAGAACCAGTGTTAACAGTAGCAGCCTGAGAGAACATTACATCTAAAAACAAGCCAAAATCAAGATCTAAGAAGCCATTTTTTACTTGTTTATCTTTTGTTTGGCAACCAGAAAGTGTCCAAATACTGTATCTTATTTCTAACTGCACACTCTAACAAATTTGGGTCAAATATGGACAAACCCAAATGTTGGGTTAAAAATCCAATTAAAAAATGTACAGTTGAAAGTGAAAGTTGAAGTTTGGTTTTGTCCATAACTGACCCAAATTTGGGTTCAAACAACCCAGCATTGTTTAGAGTATACAGTATATGATGATTTATTATCATTTATGATTTATTATCAATCATCAAGAGCACTTAATAAATAAAAAAAAAACTCCTGACTTGAGTGGTTTATACTACTCTGAGCAATGTTTGAACTTTGTATTTTGAGCACTTCTTGTGTTGTTATTGCCTCTTCACGATGACTCGTTTGAATAACTCACTTTGGATTAAAGCGTCTGCTAAATGACTAAATGTAAATTTATAATCCTTGTTTTTTTTTCTTAAACGTTTTAGTTGAAAATTCATCATCTGTTGTTTTACTTGAAATGTAACGCTATAAGTGTGATATTGTGTCATGGTATTCAAAAATACAGTCGTCCAAAATTATTTAGACACCTTGGTCAACAAAACAAAAGCGATTTTTGTACCTGTTTATCTTTTGTTTGACAAGCAGAAAGTGTCCAAATACTGTATCTTATTTCTAACTGTACACTCTAACAAATGCTGGGTTGTTTCAACCCAAATTTGGGTCAAATAAGGACAAATCCAAATGTTGGGTGAAAAATGCAATTAAAACATTTACAGTTGAAAGTGAAAGATGAAGTTGGGTTAAAATTTGAAATTACATTTTTAACCATGTCCATATTTTACCCAAATTTGAGTTCAAACAACCCAGCACTGTTTAGAGTGTATATGATGATGTATTATCATTTATAATCCTCATTTTTTTTCTCTTAAATGTTTTACTTGAAAAAATCATCACCAGCTGTTTCACTTGAAAAGTAACACTAGTAAGTTTGATATTGTGTCTTGGTATTCAAAAATACAGTCGTCCAAAAGTATTTAGACACCTTGGTCAACAAAACAAAATGTCAAATCAAGATCTAAGAAGCGATTTTTTTGTTTGACAACCAGAAAGTGTCCAAATACTGTATCTTATTTCTAACTGTACACTCTAACAAATTTGGGTCAAATATGGACAAACCCAAATGTTGGGTTAAAAATGCAATTAAAAAATTTACAGTTGAAAGTGAAAGTTGGAGTTGGGTTAAAATTTGAAATTACATTTCTAACCCAACAAAAAACTTTAAATCCTGACTCGAGTGGTTTATTCTACTCTGAGCAATGTTTGAACTTTGTATTTTGAGCACTTCTTGTGTTGTTATTGCCTCTTCACGATGACTCGTTTGAATAACTCGCTTTGGATTAAAGCGTCTGCTAAATGACTAATTGTAAATTTATAATCCTTGTTTTTTTTCTTAAATGTTTTACTTGAAAAATATGGACAATATGGGGTCAAATATGGACAAACCCATTTGTTGGGTTAAAAATGCAATTAAAAAATGTACAGTTGAAAGTGAAAGTTGAAGTTGGGTTAAAATTTGAAATGACATTTTTAACGTTTGTCCATATTTTACCCAAATTTGGGTTCAAACAACCCAGCATTGTTTAAAGTGTATACGATGATTTATTATCATTTATAATTTTTTTTTCTTAAATGTTTTACTTGAAAATCCAATCATCTACTGTTTAACTTGAAAAGAAATGCCAACAAGTTTGCTTTTGTGTCTTGGCATTCAAAAATATAGTCGTCCAAAAGTATTTTTTAAAAAAAAAAAAAAGTCAAATCGAGATCTAAGAAGCGATATTTGTACCTGTTTGTCTTTTGTTTGACAACCAGAAAGTGTCCAAATACTGTACATCTAATGATTGATCATCTACAATCCTTGCCTTCAAAATAAACGCCTTTAAATTGAATATCGTGTCTTGGTATTAAAAAACACAGTGGCCCTGAAGTATCTGAAGATTTAGGAAGACATTTTGGGCATATTTGTCTTTGACAACCAGAAAGCGTCCAAATACTAAACAGTTAGAGTATGTGTATTGATTTATCATTTAAAAGCCTTTCACTTAAAAAGTCCTCGCTATTTTCCTTTCAAATAAATGCCACTTAGTTTGCTGTATTTACAGCCAATTACATTCTGTGCCCAGTGGCACGTCTGTCACACATTTCTGCTCAGTAACATAACACAATGACTTCTCCTAGAGAAAAAAATCCCCCACACATACAAAAAAAAAAAAAAAAAGATGGGGGTCAGCAGGAAAGGGTGTGGTTTACAGGCCCTGTGGGTCTCACTTTACCCCGATCCACCAAAGTCAGCAGGAGGTTAATGGTCGGCTTTAGCTATTAACATGAAACAGGTCACTGGGAGCCACGGTTCTGGACTGATCGAGCCAACAGAGACGCTTACGTGGGCCTAACTCTGTAGACAAAGACCCCCTAAACAGTCGGCCGTCCCGCAGGAGAATTTCCATGACAAATGGCCAACGCTATCTCCAAGAAGGAAGTAGCCAGGAGCTGTGTCATGGTGAGCATTAAAATCACTGTCTCTTTTGCTTTGTCATGACCCAAGCGCACTTCCTTTTCCATACAGATCAGGCTTGGGACCTAACCAACACTCTCACAAACATACAAAAGGGACCTTTTGTTGAAGTTGAAGCAAAAGCCACCACGATTTCAGCTCAGGGACAAAAAGTTGATGGTTATAGGCTGTGTGTGTGCGTGCATAATTGCGCGCGTCTCATTTATTTGCGTGTTTGCGATGTGAGCCCTTCTCTGTCTGAGCGACGAGTGCGTGAGACCGCCTGAGCGCAAGCCGCAGCGAGTGGGAGCGTGTGTGTGTGTGCGCGTTTGACCCAACTAAGCAGAGGCGGGTCGTGCAAGTTCACGGCTTACAGCTGTCAGTGCGCTTCCACATGTCAGACAAGCCGACAGAAGGCTTATAGGAAAGATGCGATCTCTTAGTCACATTCACCTCATCCACCTCCTGCACACAGGGCAACTTCCTGTTCGGTGTCTACGTCAGTTCACCTCACTGAAAAACAACCGCCTCAGCTGCTTTACTGGTCCCTCTGGTTGGTTTCAGTACGGTTTTAAAGGGATAGTTCACTTTGAAATTAATTTTTGGTATGTTTTAGCTTACCTCAAGGGCATCCAAGATGTAGGTGTCTTTGTTTATGCAGTATTTTCAATTTTGATATTTTTAGGTCAAACCGTTATAATGCAGGTCTATGGTCACCACCTTAAAGAGCATGCACAGAGAAGTCCAAATGAAACATGATTTAATGACTCGTAAATGTAAGTACACATTGATGGCCTGAGACACGAAACGAGCGGTTTGTGTGAGAAAACGGACAATATTTATATCGTTTTTACCTCTTGCAATCCAAGTGATCTGAATCAGTTGTTCAATGTCCAACTGAACCGAACTGAATCAGACGTCACTCAATATTTACACGGAGATTTCGGAAGTTTTACCTTTTACTAAACATATTTAGATATACCGAAATCGTCTTCCATTGCGGTTTCCCGTATATCTAAATATGTTTAGTGAAAGGTAAAACTTCCGAAATCTCTGTATAAACAAAGAGTGACGTCGGCGCGATCATTTTGTCATGGCTATGATTACAAGAGGTAAAACGATATAAATACTGTTGGTTTTCTCACACAAACCGCTCGTTTCGTGTCTTAGGCCATCAATGTGTACTTACATTTACGAGTCATTAAATCATGTTTAATTTGGACTTCTCTGTGCATGCTCTTTGAGGTGGTGACCATAGACCTCCATTATAATGGTTTGACCAAAAAATGTCAAAATTGAAAATACTGTGGAAACAAAGACACCTACATCTTGGATGCCCTTGAGGTAAGATAAAACATAGCAAAAATGAATTTCAAAGTGAACTATCCCTTTAAGCACGTCAAACTTGCAGCTAAACCAGATCACAGGCATCTTTTACCAACTACACAAACTTAGCATAAATGATTGAGGGTGAAATCAAAAGCACTTACAGAAACTTAAGTCTGATATGTTCATTGTCTGGGTTGCAATAAAGCCGCTCCAGTTGTTCTTGAGAGTCATCCGATATGCTCTGCCAGATCTGCGTGTCTGCTCGGTGGATTTGCCAGTGGTAAGGTAAAACGGTGTGATGGTGGGCGCAGTCGCTGCCGTAGATGCAGACGCCCTGGAGGAAATCCACACAGATCGATACAGCGTCCGCTTGATGCGTGTGATACTGGAGCTGGGTCAGGAGTTCAAACACTAGATCCAAAGAGGCCTCCTCGCTTTTATCCTGAAAGATCTCGCCCTCTTTGATGGCGAGGCAATTTGCGCCCTGCAAAGTCTCCGCGGTGCAGATGTCATTTAACTTCGACCCCGAAACGACAGAGGAGGGCACCGCCTCGACGCGCTCGTTAGCGTCTATGGACACCCGCTGTATATCCGTCACCTTCTGTTCCCCCACGGCTACGTCCGCATCCGCGCTCTCCTCCTCTCCCTCCTCCTCTTCCTCCTTCAGGCACACCTGACTAATCCTCGACTGCTTCTCCACGACAGCGGTGCATATAGTCCTCTGAGGTCGAGACGGGTTACGCGGAACGAACACCCCGTCACCCGACACCAGGGCGTCCGAGTTCAATAACGTGCTTAAAATAGGGTCCTCTAACGCGTGCAGGCATTTGGCACCCAGTTTTCTCTGCGCGTGTTTCTTTTTAAAGTAGGGCTTCACTAGCGGGATCTTGTCGGGGAGCCCCATCCGCTGCTCGGGGAACTCTCCGGTTTCCATGGGGAGAGCTAAAGCGGGCTCAGCGGTGTCTACAGCCTCCTGCATGGCGCGAACACGTCTCCACGACACCTATTCAGAAAACACAGCAACATGAGTAAACGGGTGTTACGTTTAAGTTTTAAAATATGCATTGAGCAACCAGTACAATAATATTTACATTTCGTTTTTATTCAAAGCGACTTACAAATGTGAAACTAACAATGTATAACAAGTACGCAGAATACGTAGGGCTGTCAAGCGATTAATCGCGATTAATCGCATCCAAAATAAAAGTTTGTGTATACATAATATATGTGGGTGCAGTGTGTATAATTATTTTATATAAAAACACACACATGCATGTATATTTAAGAATTTTTTTTTATTTATATATAAAATATTTATATAGAATATAAATTACATATAAATCTATATTATACATGAAAACATTTCTTAAATATATACAAGCATGTGTGTGTATGTAAGCAGGGAGTGAAAACAAAATATGTTTTAAATGTATTTTTTTTTTAAGTTTTAAAATATGCATTAAGCAACCAGTACAATAATATTTACATTTCGTTTTTATTCAAAGCGACTTACAAATGTGAAACTAACAATGTATAACAAGTACGCAGAACACGTAGGGCTGTCAAGCGATTAATCGCATCCAAAATAAAAGTTTGTGTATACATAATATATGTGGGTGCAGTGTGTATAATTATTTTATATAAAAACACACGCATGCATGTATATTTAAAAAAATTTTTTTATTTATATATAATATAAATTACATATAAATCTATATTATACATGAAAACATTTCTTAAATATATACAAGCATGTGTGTGTATTTATATATGAAATAATTATTCACAGTGCACCCACATATATTATGTAAACACAAACTTTTAGTTTGGATGCGATTACTCATTCGATTATTCTTTTTAAATAGATATAGAATGTTATATTGCTAAACAGATGCTATTTAGCGAATAAAAGTCGCGTTCACCTACTGTAGCGAGTTGACGCAGCTAAATATCTGTATATCGTATTATCAAAACATTATTTATCACTTACTATAGATTTTAGTCGTCATGCCACTCAACTGATTGTGTGTACACTTGTAGACACTTTGGGTTACATTACTGACTATTTGTTGTAAAACCGACTGCCCAGAAAGTCATTGAATAGTTCACACAATGTTTATTCGTACCATTTTGTCCATTTGTTGCAATGCATACTGTGTATATCACGCAACTGCTAAACGATAAAATCGATTATTATCTTTAATGAAAATGATCGACAAAGAATTTGATTACTGATCACTTTACAGTAGCGAAAAAAAAACAAAAAAACATTTCTACGGATAAAACACAAAGTGAGCATTATCCAACTTGTCCGAATCACGAGAATGATTCATATTTAGAAATAAAGGTTTAAAAAATATGTAATCATAGTTATGTTGGATATATTGTTGGAGTAGCTCATTAATGACATTCACTATATTTGTTTTCATAGGCATTATATCAAACATTGTTTGCAGGACAGCATGTGGAAAAACATTGTCAAAAACATCATATAATACTTGTTGCATTTTTCATCTGATTATTCGGAATAATAATGGATAAATTAACCGATTATGAAAATAATCGTTAGTTGCATCCCAAATATCACGTGACTTGTTTCTCGCGTGCACTTAACATTTCTCAGAGTGTACTAGAGTTTACAATGACACACTCAAACCACCATAAACACACATCTAGTGCGCGCGCAATCAGTTCATTCCTAGACGGGCATTCAGGTGACCGGGCGAAAGATGAAACCTTTCCTTTCTCGAGATGAGAGAGAAAAGTATTAGCGAAACAGAAAGTTTCTTTCAAGACCCCCCCCCCCCCTCCCTCCCACTGTAAAAACATGTTTATTACTATGATAGCAACGTCGTAGTTTCCTCCCATTTAATCTACATCCACCATTTCACTCGCTTTAACACACTAAAAATTAACTTACCAATGCAAGTTATGGTTGCGTCGGTGTTACAAGGTAAACATTTAAATACGGTGTAATAATAAAACGACATGTACTTACCACAGCTTTAGGGTTTGTTTTCTAAGTAATCACGCATACTTTTAGTAACTGGACACTAAAATAAAGTGTTATAACTTAAATTATCATATTTAAGCGTATTGTAAACATTTAAATACGGTGTAATAATAAAACGACATGTACTTACTACAGCTTTAGGGTTTGTTTTCTAAGTAATCACGCATACTTTTAGTAACTGGACACTAAAATAAAGTGTTATAACTTAAATTATCATATTTAAGCGTATTGTAAACATTTAAATACGGTGTAATAATAAAACGACATGTACTTACTACAGCTTTAGGGTTTGTTTTCTATGTAATCACGCATACTTTTAGTAACTGGACACTAAAATAAAGTCTTATAACTTAAATGATCATATAAGCGTATTTTTCAAAAACAAACGCATCGACATTAAGCAAAAGCAGCGCAGTGTGTATTTAATAATACATGATAGATTGTAAACAAATCCCATGAAATAGCAATATTCGTCTTGTTTGATCGAATTGCATGGTTTAATCGCGCTGCTCCATGCGATAAAATCAGGCAAACGCAAGGCAAGCGCTCTCTCGGGAGTATTTTGATGGCTTGATCTAGATACATGGAGTTGGGAGCGTACGTGCCAGTTGCCAATAGCGGCTCGTTCTAGTTCGCACGTACTCTGTGTTAAAGCGATCACTGCCCACTGCGGCGCCTGACCCCCGTTCTCACACAAACACACGAGCGAGAGGGATGCGTTAATGCCAAATCCAACACTACACCGCGACCGGGTGCAGGGAGACGATTTATTACAGTCCGTTCGCAATGCAGAAGAAGCGCTCCGTTTCCCCCGCACGCGCGATATAGACATCGATGTTTATATTCCTGTGCTTTCCAAATGTAGGTTAGTACCTGAAAACTTCCCGACTCCTTTTGATGCTACTGTCGAAGCAAGTAGCCCGTCCCGGTGATTCCGCACTCCTCGCTCATATATAGGACAGACAAAGCGTTAATCCACAGAGTGAAGCGTTCGCGTCGGTCTCCAGCAGCGTCTGAGCGGCTCGCAGCTGTTGCAGAACACAGGACTCGCTCGTCCAATCACAGCGCGGCTGGGGCGCAAAATGGGCGGAGCTTGGAAAGGAGGAAAAAAAAAAAAAATCAGGAAGTTGCCCGATGCGTGCTTGTGCGTTTTGACTCACCCTTCTAGTTTGCTTACGCCAGAATTCGTCAGGTGTTGTGTTTACTGTATATACGGAGTATATGCCAGCGTTTTTTAAAGCATAAGCATTATTTTATAGAGAAATGTGAACAATCAAGTGTCTAAACCTTTAATAGCCATAGCCTATCAAACAAAAGTGGGTTTCTGAAGAGTTTTAAAGGGATAGTCCACCCGTTTTTTGTCTTGTTTTTGTCATTTACTCACCCTCTTGTTGTCCCAAACCTGTATGAGTCATTCTGTTGGACACGAAAGAAGTCATTTTGGTAACCAGGGATTTGATGTTAGTGTTTATTTCCTACTTTGGATGTCAATGGCTACCGTCAACTATCTGGTTACAAACATTCAGCTGTTCAACGGAAACTCATACAGGTTTGGAACAACTTGAGGCAAATTTCATTTTTTGAGTGAACTATCCCCAATAACTGGGTTATAACTAGGTACTAACCCCTTAACCCAGTTACATTATTATAAAACCAGTACTTTCTTGGGTAACTACACTGTAGAAACAAAGTGTACCAACAAATATTGTACTGGGTTGTTTGACCCACCAGTTGGAAACTCCTGCCACAGATCATTGTAGTGATGTGTCACTGGAATGAGGTGAAAGGTTATTGACTGCATAATGACACAACCTGTTTTCACAGCAAATTACATGCTACTTTACACCCTTCTTCAGACGAGACAAACTGCAACTGAATTCTGAAACAAGCAACCCACACAATTCAGGACAGTAGATACGCACTTGACCAGTAGGACCAGTCGTCATTCCAAATAAATATTGTCTGCATTGAAAAATCATATGCCTTTGAAAGGAGTAAAAATGTGCAATTGCATGGCTACGCCTCTGTGACCAAGTTCACATTGTACCTCGCCCAAAACACGTTCAGTATCTTGTGTATAGACATGTCGGTACGAGCCCTCCCTCACAGAGGAATCTACAGGGAACTGGAGTGACGTGTGTGTGTTCTCATGGCTCTGCCCCTGTGAACCGATCTGTTCTTGACAATCATCATTCGCCCTTTTGGCTTTTAAAATCTGACATATCCTGACAGAAAAAAGCCAACGACTCCAAAACGATTACCGTGTACCAAAAAATATATATAATGTTAAAACAAAACATATTAAAAAGCATAATTACACCACAGTGTGTTCCATCGCGGAATGGGATAAGCTAATAATGCATAATTACCGTACGGATTAAAATGGAACTGGTGCTTATTAATTTGGACTTTATGTGCCACTGAATGTAGGTCGTCCTTGACACTGTAAACACACAAAATAAGGGCATTATCTCTCAATAAGTGGCAAACCGTTCACACTGAATGCGGTTTTGCCTTTCACTGCACTTCCGTGTGAACGTAAGCATTTCTAAACGCAAAACCCGTTCTGTGTGAACAGCCCTAGGCGATCGTGTATTTTAAAGCGCTGCAAAAGACACGAGGGATAGACTCTATTTAAAGGAGTCCATGTTACAGTGTTAAGTTCTGAGTAACTACTTGTATTACGGGGTTAGGGTTTGGTTAGTTGCAAGTAATTTATAGCTGACTAACATGTAACAAGGGCATTGTGAAATAATGAGTTAATTTGTAATAATTAATTACATGTTCTTACTTTACGCTTACGGTTAAGGTTAGAGTTTGGTTTTGGGTTAGTTGCTTGTAATAGCTGCACAATTTACTGTTACTACTATAGAAAATGCATGTAACATGTAACTATATACCCTTAAAATAAAGTGGTGGTACTTTTTTACTTTACAGTCCTGTTCCCCATGTACAGAGTTGTACTAGTTGTATGTACTTACTTATTATAGTTATTACAATAACGGCATAACAACTAGTTACTAACGCTAAACCTACCCCTTTATATTACAGTGTCCTTGTTACATGTTACTGTAGTAATAACTATAAATTATGCATAATTACATGCAACTAAACCTCAAGCTCAAAACTTGAATGCATAATTACACTGTAACACGGACACCTTAAAATAAAGTGTAACCCTAAACTCATGTAGGTACCTTACATTAACCAGTACTTTCTTAGAAGTACATGTAAGTGCACATACTGTAAAATAAAGTGCAATCAATAAAGTGAAAACACATCTGTCAGATAAAAAAGGTACAAAAGCTGTCACCGGTGCTGTACCTTTTCAAAAGGTACACGTTTGTACCTAAAGGCTGCATATTGGTACCTTAATGGTACATATTAGCACCTAGTGTACATATTAGCACCTGAAATGTAAATATTAGCACCTGAAATGTACATATTAGCACCTGAAATGTTCATATCAGCACCTAAAATGTTCATATCAGCACCTAAAATGTTCATATCAGCACCTAAAATGTTCATATTAGCACCAAAAATGTTCATATTAGCACCAAAAATGTACATATTAGCACCTAAAATCTTCATATTAGCACCTAAAATCTTCATATTAGCACCTAAAATGTATATATTAGCACCTGAAATGTAAATATTAGCACCTAAAATGTTCATATTAGCACCTAAAATGTACATATTAGCACCTGAAATGTAAATATTAACAACGGAAATGTACATATTAGCACCTATAATGGACAAAAGTGTACCTTTTGAAAAGGTACAGCCCCAGTGACAGCTTTTGTACCTTTTTTCTGAGAGTGTAATGTAAAAAGTCGCAACTAAGTATAGAAATAAATATCAGAAATATCAGGTAAAATATCAGCCCGTTCTCATCCCAATGCGTCATATACTGATGGTTTTGCCAATGCGTATACAGCCAACGCACATGGCACCCTTTACCGTCAACATGAGACGCAGATACATATGGGGCAGAAGGCGCCTCCAAGTGGTGTAACCCTAACACTACCCCAGACCTAAACCTACCATAATCGAAGCGTGTTGTATTGACGCTAAAGGGTGCCATGTGTGTTGGATGTCTACGCATAGGCAAAAATGTCGTATATGACGCCTTGGGATGAGAATGCGTTGGAAATAAACTTGTAAGCATTTTTTTGGGAATCGAACAATATAAGTTGAAAATGAGCATTATTCTTGGATATATCTTTTACCAAGCTTACCGTTTCCATGTCTGCTTGAAGGATGTCTGAGACTCCGACCTCGTGACCTTGTCCTTGTTGAAGGCATGCGTGTGTGAATGACTGCTTGAGGATTTTCTCTTCAGGCCTGGGCTTTCAGTGGGGGGTTTATGAAAAGAGGTGGAGATTGAAAGGGCAGGTGGCGGTGGCAGAGCTGACCAAAACAAAACAAAAAAAAAAGCTTCCGTAGTGATTTATCCCGGAGAGGACAGGAAGGAGGGAACAATACCCTGTTCTTGAGTTTCTGCTCTCTCTCTCTCTCTCCCTCCCTCTCTCATATGCACATGACCAGGTCACCCAGTGTGCACTCACAATGTGCTGATCAAAGCCCTGGTTTGATCTGCCCGGCTCTTGTTGGGGCCACCAGGGATGCAGGAAAATTGAGGCTAAAGGTCGCCTGAAACATCTTCAGAGCCAAAGTCATGTATCTGTTTCTCCCTCCTCTTTTTCATCTGGATGAAGGTTTCTGTTACGCCCTGATCTGCTACTAACATTCTTTATCTATATTTTAGTGAAGCGAAAGAGCAAAAGTCTCAGATCAGTGCAAAAGGGCACATTTCTATTGAGCAGCAAAGACGGCAGATGGACATGAGCCAACATGTAGCGTTAAGCAGCAGAGGAAAAGAACAGGAATTTTAATGACCCTGCGAAAACCCGCCCAGCAGGTTGTCATCTCACAAATGCCACAGACGTCTATGAGAGAAGTGTTAAAGAAGCTGGCCAAATCAATTAGGAACCTGAAACCGAACAGTGCATTCTCCTGATGATTCAAATCACGTTCACACGTTTCAAGATCAGCAGCTCAGTTTTATAACAGCTGACGGTGACGCCGCTGGAACGAACCATGAAATAACAAGCATCCGAAAAGAACGACACATTAAAGGAGTAGTTCACTTTACAAAAAAACATTTGCTGATAATTTACGCACCCCCATGTCATCCAAGATGTCCACGTCTTTCTTTCTTCAGTCGAAAAGAAATTAAGGTTTTTGATGAAAACATTCCAGGATTTTCTCCATATAATGGACTTCAATGTCTAAAAGACACTTTCAGTACAAACTGCAAACTGTTCAAAGGGCTTTAAACGATTCCAGACGATGAATAAGGGTCTTATCAAGCGTAACGATCGCTCATTTAATAAATAAATAACAAAGTTCTGTGATGCGCGTTCGTGACTCTCCTGTTCGAACTTGTTTATCAAAATGAACGAATCTTTTTCAAAGTCATTTGGTTCATTCAACCAACGAAACGTACGAATCGATTTAGAAAAAGATTTGTTCAGTTTGATAAGCTTTATAAGCTCAAATGCTCGCCTTGCTCTGTTCGGTGTTGTGTTTGTGACTCTCCTGTTCGAACGCGTTTATCAGAACGAATCTTTTTCCGAGTCAATTCGTTCGTTGAATGAACCAAATGACTCGGAAAAAAATTTGTTTATTTTGATAAACGCGTTCGAACAGGAGAGTCACAAACGTGCGTCACAGAACAGAGCAAGGCGAACATTTGTCATTTGGACCTTGAACCGTTTGGTTTCCATTGAAGTCCAGTATATGGAGAAAATCCTGGAATGTTTTCATCAAAAACATTAATTTCTTCTCGACTGAAGAAAGAAAGACATGGACATCTTGGATGACAATGGGGGTGAGTAAATTATCAACAAAAGCTTTTTCAAAAGTGAACTCCTTTAACCCATGCAATAAAAGACAAACCTGCTATCTAACCAGAGGTGTTGTAAAATATCCATAGAAACCTACAGAGAGGAAAACACAAACTCATTTAGGTCTAGACATGTGACTAGTCACTATACCAGTGCTTGTTTGAGGAAAAGCCACGACACCTTGACTTTCATTTCTCCATATGTGCCGTCATAAAGACACTCAGTGACTACAACCATTGATATAAACATTAAACACGAGTCTGCTTTCCTTTCTCTAGCGCAGGGAGGCTGTATAGGGGTCTTAAGTTTCCTTTCTGTCCCCCGGGTGAATAAGGGGGCCCTATGTTAGTCTGTGTTCATGACTAGTCTCCTGTGACAGGGGTTGCAGTACGTGGATCGCTTTCCCCGTCATCCACAAGGAATGTTTCTCTTACACCACGACGAGTAGCTCGGTCAATAAACACATATACAGGCTCTGCTTGTCAGCCTGATATGCTGTGGTTTGAGCAAGGTCAACTTCACTTAAAATATAACTGAGAAATAACATTCTCGTCCAGACATTGTCCCCGGGAATAAGGATGCGTTTATCTGTCCGGGCTTCTCTGAAATGAGATTGACAGATGCAGTGCTATTCGGGGACTGAATGTCTCCTGTTTTAGAAATCTGAGGCATTTCTTTCTGACTCTTTATATCGCCTCTATATAACAACAAATAAATAATGGACACAGCAGAAACCAAAAGATGTGAAGTACTGTAAAATATAATCCTGTAAAAAACGGTAAACTACTGGTAGCTATGGTTGCCAGCATCATACGGTAAAAATACGGTGTTGCTGTTTTTGAAATTAACAGCTAAATACCATATTGTCAACTACAGTACACTGTAAAAAAATAATCCTGTAAAAAAACGGTAAACTTAACTACTGGCAGCTGTGGTTGCCAGCATCATACCGTAAAAATACGGTGTGTTACTGTTTTTGAAATTAACAGCTAAATACCATATTGTCAACTACAGTACACTGTAAAAAAAATAATCCTGTAAAAAACGGTAAACTTAACTACTGGCAGCTGTGGTTGCCAGCATCATACCGTAAAAACACGGTGTGTTACTGTTTTTGAAATTAACAGCTAAATATCATATTGTCAACTACAGTACACTGTAAAAAAATAATCCTGTAAAAAACCGGTAAACTACTGGCAGCTGTGGTTGCCAGCATCATACGATAAAAATACAGTGTGTTACTGTTTTTGAAATTAACAGCTAAATACCATATTGTCAACTACAGTACACTGTAAAAAAATAATCCTGTAAAAAACGGTAAACTTAACTACTGGCAGCTGTGGTTGCCAGCATCATACCGTAAAAACACGGTGTGTTACTGTTTTTGAAATTAACAGCTAAATATCATATTGTCAACTACAGTACACTGTAAAAAAATAATCCTGTAAAAAAATGGTAAACTACTGGCAGCTGTGGTTGCCAGCATCATACGGTAAAAATACAGTGTGTTACTGTTTTTTGAAATTAACAGCTAAATACCATATTGTCAACTATAGTACACTGTAAAAAAATAATCCTGTAAAAAAATGGTAAACTACTGGCAGCTGTGGTTGCCAGCATCATACGGTAAAAATACGGTGTGTTACTGTTTTAAAATTAACAGCTAAATACCGCATTGCCAGCTACAGTATAAAACTTTAATTTAACAGCTATATAACACACAAACAGTAACACACCGTATAGTTGGCAACCACAGCTGCCAGTAGTTTACTGTTTTTTACAGTGTTGATACAAATTTTTGGGATGAAGCAAAGAAACTATATTCCAGTATTTCCTGGAAAGGAAACGGATTCATTAAATCCACGGTATAAAGGAAACTGAATAAACCCCAGATGGACAAAAAATGATTTGTCGCCATAGCAAAGTTTTCTGGTTGCTTCCTTTTCATAATGGTGCACACTGACCGCAGGTTTCGACCGATTCAGGAATATGTATTTTTGTTTCTTTTGGACTGGGGATTAGGAACTGACACATGTTATGATTTAACAGAATAAATGTAATGATCACAAGATGAAACCAACATAATCAGTGCCTGATGCATCCTGTGACCTCTTATGAAACGGTTAGTCTCCATCACATGGCTTTATATACAGAACTAATTAGAGCGGCTGTCAGGTCAGGAGAGGAGTAATTTAATAACACAGAAGCACATCTGACAGACACACACCTCTCGAGTCCTGAAGGATTGCATCACACAAAGCATGATCAACAAGCGAGGTCAACATGTTCCAGGACACCAATTGGAGAAAACAACCCTGCCATCTATTGGTGACTCTGGGTCTCATGTGAGCGTGGAAAAACAATCAATAATGTGAAACGTTTCACATCCTGCTCTAACCCATCTAACCACAACCAGGAAACATCTAATAGCCGGTTATAAATCCTGAAAAAAACTATTTCGGTTGGATTTGGAAATGCAGTGCTTCACTCTGAAAAATGCTGGGTTGTTTTTCAACCCATTTTTTGGGTCAACCAAACCGTTGTTTCAATTTTTTTAATTACATTTTTAACCCAATTCAATTTATTTTTAATCATTATACAGAAAAAAAAATGAGATTTGTTATCACAACATTTTTTCTTTTGTCAAATCAACTCAAATCATTTATGTAGTTCAGATTACATAAAATTTTGAGTTTCTCCTTCACTCAATTTTTTCATTTTAATGAACTTAACATTTTAAGGCAACCAATTTTTTAAGTTAAACCAAACAATTTTTTTTTTTTACAGTGAATAACCAAAAAAAAAAAGGTTTAGGCTGAAGCCTATGCCTATTATTCCCACTTTTTGTACATAATTACTCAATTAGCAGCACTTTTCTCTCTGGATTTAACTTTCAAAATAAACTTACATTTACTAAGAACATTTCCAAGATATTCATACATGATTACAAAGGTGTACATCTCAGACTTTATTTCAATGGTTTACATATAACGTAAACAAATTAAATCACATTGAGTTTTATAATTATTTAACACCTTGTTTTTAAGTTACAGACTGAAGTACACAATTTTAATTCCTTGTCACAATTATTCCATAAAGTACTCCTAAACAGATATGCATCTATTTTTTGCATTAGTTCTTGCTCTTACTTTTTTAAACATACACATTCCTCTTGGTTTATACTGACTTTCTCTTATGACAAATATGCCAACGTTCGGGTTTGTTCATATTTGACCCAAACATGGGTTAAAACAACCCAGGATTTTTTAGAGTGAAGCACTGCATTTCCGAATCCAACCAAAATAGTATTTTTCAAGATTTATAACCAGTATTTCATGACTCTTGTGTCTTGAGAACGATATTAATGTGCAGGAAACCTGTTGGAGGATGAAAGGGAACGTAATTCCAAGAAAGCGCTAACAGGATAAAGATGCTCCAGCTACTGGCACGTAAAGTAAAGAAAGTGTAGGATATGCAGCTGCTTATAACAGACTCGAGCCA